CTTTGCCCAGACCTTTTCTCCACCCTTCTGGAGGCTTGCTGCCTCTAGGGATGGAATGGGGAGGGGGATGTGTATTTGTGTGTGCAAGCACCATGCATATGCAGATGTGGAGTGGGAAGTGGGTTTGTGGAAGGGAATGGGCTCAGGATCTCAATTTCCCCCGTACCTTGGCGGGGTCCCCAGAGGCTGCCTTTGGAGGGTCTTGGTTGGGTTTGAGTTTGAAGCTTGGGTTCTTCTCCCATCCTAGGGCAGAAGAAGAAAGACAAGCAGAGGCTCCCTTATCTATTGAAGATATCCCAGTTATCTGCTAACTGCAGGCTTTAAGGTTTATATTTAGAAAAGGGAGGGAAGCTTTGGGCATTCAGCAGTTTTTAATCTCTGGGCACATAGTTGTGCAGTTCTGGCTTGGAAGGAGTAGAAAGTGCTAAATACATGGGATAATTCACTTTCCCTGATGGGGTTGAATTTTTCCTTTCTGCTTACCTATATGAAATGTTTCATGAATTGGTATTTTTTTGTAATAACAGTAGTAACAACAACAAAGCAGCCACGTATTGCATGTTTACCATGTGCCAGGCAGTGCACTAAGTGCTCCCCATGTACTAAGTCAGTTCTAAATATGATTCCATTTGTATTTTCACATCCATTTTACAGATGTGGAAAAGAGAGATTAAGTTACTTGCTTTGAGTCATTTAGCTAAGCCGGGATTCAAACCCAGGGCTGAGCACAATATTGCCTTATCTGCTACTTTTCCTTCCACAATGGGGATTTGATATTGGCATCTCAATAAATTTAATTAACTCAGTAAACATGTGTGGAGGACTCAGAAAGGCAGGTTTCTCATTCAGCACTGCAGGGGGTTGGCTGTCAAGCCTGTTCATGGTGGTTCAATTCACAGCCTGGGTGAAGAGGCAAGAGCACATGGTACAGCTGCTAAAGCACTGGATCAGGAATCAGGAAGTGTGTGACCTGGTCCTGCACCTCTTCAGGGGGACGTGTTCTTTACTTGAGCTTCAGTTTCCCTTTCTGAAAAATGGTGACTTCTACTTTCATCACATCATGCCCACCTCTTCAAGCACTTGTGAAGCACAGATATGAGGAGGTGGTGGGGACATGCCTTGTAAACTGGAAAGAGTTTTATAAGAGGAGAGGGCTGTTATAAGAGAAAGACAATTCTCCTTGTAAAGGGAAAGAAGAGTCAAAGGGCTGATGGACGGCCGGTGTGGATGGCTGAGGTGATGCAGCAGAGGGCTGTGTTGGGCAGACATCAAGAAGCGATAATATTAATTAAGCAAATTTCCTGGTGTGTGTGTGTGTGGGGGGGTGGCAGCTAGACAACCCAGGGAGTCCAAGACTAAGTAAAGTGATAGGGAAATTAGAGAGGAAAATAAAGAAGCATCAGCACATTGGGGTGAGTTGCAATATCAAATAGGTAAAGACTGGGAGAGAGCTTGATGAACATTTTCTATTCTGGTCATTTGCTTTAGCAAAGGGAGTTGAATGGTTTTGCACAGTCTCACAGGGAGGCAGAGGCACAGGCCAGTCCCCAGAATCAGTGCTTTTTCATGTGAGATCCAGTGGCCTCATATGATTGCTCTTTCCAGCACACCTCAAACGTTGATGCCCAAAGAATCCTTAGCATTCTTCCACCCCCGCCCCATGGTCCTTCCAGCTGGGGAAGGAAGCCATGCTCATTGGTTCATCAACTAGCTCATTCTATATAAGCATAGGCAAGAGGGCTCAGATGGAGGATAAGATAGGCCAGGACCCTTCCTATAAATCCTCCCAGTCCATGGAGGAGGAAGACAACAAAATAGGAAATTGCGGGGCAGTGAATTAAGGACCACAATGGAGAAAGGCAGAGAGAACTATGGAACCCAGATGAGAGGCCCTTATCCTTGTTGGATGGAAGCAAAGGGTGGCCAAGAAGAGATTTTTTAAAACATATTGGGTATGAACAAAAATGTAAAGGACGAACATGAGTTGTCTCAACATGTTTACAAAGCCTTGGCTGAGTCATTAGTGACCTCTCCAGCCCTACTGTCCCCCACACTCTGCTAGACACTGGGGAGATCATGAACAAGATGGACAAGGCTCCTGAAATCATGAAGCTAACATTTTAAGAATACAATGAAAATAAAGAAGTAGATAAACAAACTGACATAGTCACTACAAGTTGTCATTAGTGCTGGAAGAAAATCAAGAGCTCTAGGACAAGGCATCATTGAGAGCTGGCTGTATGGGTTTGCATGAGATGGGGTGGCCCCAAGGGGTAGGAAGAGGTGGAACTTCAGGTTAGATGAAGGAAGAGAAGAAGCCAGCTCTTCAGAGGACTGGGAGGAGAAGAGTTCTGGAAACTTCAGTCCTATGAAGTTAGCCCTAAATTTTCCTGCAGTTTAGCAACCTCATTCCCCCAAGTGCTTTCTCTGGGTGTGGAGCGAGTTAGCTCACTGGCACTGGAATTCCTCTGTGTCCTGAGTGGGTATGTTTCCAGGTTGGTAAAGATGCTTCACCATCCCACTCTGGTGTGTGCTCTGGTATGTCCTTGAGGCTGAACATTGACATACCTCGGTACCTCCCAAAGGAGGCTTCCTCTCCCTCCTCTGACTCCAGAAGTATCCATCTGACATTTTTACCATCTTACCTAACACTGTGTGGATTTCCCTTAACAATAACCCCTTACATGTGCATCATGCTTTGCAGATTATAAAGTACTTTGATAGTCTTAATTTTATTTGTTCTTCATAACCCCCTGCAGAGTAAGGGGAGACAAGGAAGTTTTGGAGACAAGGATTCTGAGGATCCTAGAGACCCAGCAGGTAGGAAGTACGTGTCGTGGTGGAAAAACCCCAGGCTCTGGAACTGAATCAACCTGGGTTCAAACTCCTAGCTTCGCTGTGTAGTAGCTGTTTGATTGAGTAACTTGCCTCTCTGAGCCTCTGTTTTCTTCTTCACAAAATTAGAATAACAACTCTGACCCTACCAGGTAATATGCTGGTTCATCACATTTGTGCATACCAGGGTTCTTAAGGCCCACTATCGACAACCTCATGATTTTTGCCTATTTTCACAGAGAAGGAGATGTTGAATGAAGTGTTCAGCCCAGGGAAAGTTGGAAGTGTTAGAGGAACTGAGAACGTGATGAGAAGCACATTGTGCAGTCACTTCTTTCCACTTCACAAAAGCGTACTTAACATTCGGAAATGCAATTTTAAAAAGGAAAGAAAGAAAAGAAAACCCTTTGTGGATGAGTGCTTGCAAGGCACTAAGCACACGCTGAGGTCTTTAAAGACCTATGTGGGGAGAGGGGGGCTTGGCTTTCCTTCCACTCTCCTCCTCCTCCTCCTCCCCAGTCTAGTCCCCAAATCAGCTTCTCACACATGTTAGCAATACCCGCTCCAGCCAAATGCATTAGCATCATTTGTCCTCGAGACAGTGGAGATGACGAGGGTTTTTACGGCACTAATTAATCCAACTGCAGAAAAGGAAAGGCTCTGTTAGCCAAGTGCATATTAATGCTGAAGTTAATATTATTAAATTCCATATTAATAAGTTGCAGGACTCCTTGGTGGGTCGCACGTAAAAGCAACCCTTGTAATTTGCCCTTGCTAAGCTGTGAACACCACAGGGAAAAGGCTTTGCTCCTGCAGTTCGAAGCTGTGTAAACATTTGGAGGTCCTTCTCTGGCACATAGTGGGTGTTTAATAACTGCTTGTGAACTGTTTCAACGGTGGGGCTAACAAGTTTGTCCTAAACCGCAGTGAAGAAGACACGTCAGCTGCTCTTTCTACAAACTCCTCAAAGGTAGAGATCGGGTCTCCGTAGCAGATGCCTCTGGGGCCGTGCTAAGCTGTGAACACCACAGGGAAAAGGCTTTGCTCCTGCAGTTCGAAGCTGTGTAAACATTTGGAGGTCCTTCTCTGGCACATAGTGGGTGTTTAATAACTGCTTGTGAACTGTTTCAATGGTGGGGCTAACAAGTTTGTCCTAAACCGCAGTGAAGAAGACACGTCAGCTGCTCTTTCTACCCTGGCACATAGTGGGTGTTTAATAACTGCTTGTGAACTGTTTCAACGGTGGGGCTAACAAGTTTGTCCTAAACCGCAGTGAAGAAGACACGTCAGCTGCTCTTTCTACAAACTCCTCAAAGGCAGAGATCGGGTCTCCGTAGCAGATGCCTCTGGGGCCGTGCCATGTCCTCTTGGCCCATGGCTGTTTCCGCTGCAGCTATGCACGTCCAGGCTCACTCTGTGCTGCCAGTGGCCTCAAGCGTACACTTGCACTTTCTGCCGCACAGCCTTCTGCAAGAGCAAGGGAGCTCCCTAGTCCCGTGTGCAAGCACAGCTAAAACATGGTGGGGAAATTAACATTCCTGGGTGGGAGGCTCAACCCAGGGGGATCAGGAAGTGGGGGATAAGGGCTCCGGCTCCCTGACTTCTAGCCAAAAAGTTCTGGGAGGCATCCCGTTTGCTTCTTAAAGAGCCCTGCAGAGTCGAGCCCCTATCCCTCAAAGCAGCAAACTTGATGATGCACTTTCACACTGACTTTTCGTCTTTCCTGTCTCACTCTTCCCTTTCCTCTGCTTTCTGAGATCACCTCCCAAATAAACCATCTGCACCCAAACCATTGTCTTAGGCTCTGCTTTTGAGGGAAGTCAAACTAAGACTTCCTTCTTGAAGTTTGTCCTCCCAGTCACCAGCACAGTTTACAGTACACAGTGGATACATTCACTCGCTAGACAAATATTTACAGAGAATCTGCTGTGTATAGCATTATACTAAGTGAACAAGGTCCCTTCTTCACGGGGCTTACAGTGATGTATACAGATGACGCACAATTCACGAATATATGAGAGATAGTGATAAGATTTTGGAGAGAATAAAGTAGGAAAAGTGGTAGAGGATGACAGCAGATGCTCCTTTAGATTGGGTGGGGGAAGAAGGCCTTTCTGAGGAGGTGACATTAAAGCAGGGGTCTGGGTAAGGAGAGGGGGCGAGCTATGCAAGGATATGAGGAAGAGCTCCTCAGGTGTCAAAACCCCAGGTGCAAAGGCCCTGCGACAGCAGCATTTGGCATGTTACAGGGGAAGAGGAATGCCAGCGTGGCTGGAAGGGGTGAGTGAGGACAGAAGCACAGGCAAGAAGAAAAGAGGGCCAGAGGAAGCAGGACATGGGGGGCAGCAGCATTTGGCATGTTACAGGGGAAGAGGAATGCCAGCGTGGCTGGAAGGCGTGAGTGAGGACAGAAGCACAGGCAAGAAGAAAAGAGGGCCAGAGGAAGCAGGACATGGGGGATATCATGAATTCTTGTTGAATAGGACAATCTTTGTATCCCTCCTCCTGGGCACTGTTTTAGGACAGGAAAGGCTCAGGTTTGGGAGTGTGACAACTCTGAATTTGAATTCCAGCCTTGTTATTTAGATGTTGTATGACCTTGGGCAATTTGCTTTAGATCTGTATCATTATTTCTTTGGATTTATGAAGTGGTGATGATAAAACTTACTTGATAGGATTTGTATTTCCTAAGACTCCAAGTTGCAAGTAACATAAAACAAATAGAAATAAGCTTTGGCAGAAAAGGAAAAAATACTGACTCATGTATCTGAAATATCCAGTGGAGATCCAGCTTCAGACATGACTGGGTCCGGGGTTTCAGATGTTGACATCAAGAAGTGGTCTATTTCCCAAGAGTTAGTCTGGTTGATCAGGACTGGGTCACTTGTCTTTTTGGCCTCTGACGTAGATTGTCTGGCCATTGATCACATGCCAATCTCTGCAGGATGGAAGGGGCCTTAGCTCAACCTAAATCAAATAGATTGGGGGAGAGCTGGTTCCCCCACATAAAATGCGGTGCTGTTGTCAGAAAGAGGCGTGGGTTTACAGTAGTCAACCTAACAGACGTACACCAGAGGATGGGAGTGAGAATGAGCCAGAAGTCCCTTAGCACAGTGCCTGGGACATGGGAACTCTCGGTAGATATTGCTAGACAATGATTGCCTTTTCTGGAGCCCTTATTTTTTTGTCAATCTCTTCTTTCCTGTGCCTCTTGAGTCCTATTTACTCCCGAAAGGTCACACAGGAGGTAGCCTGGCTCTCTCAAGAAAGAGAGACTTCTCATACCAGGTGCTGATGTTCAGAAAATGGGGGCGAATCCACTGAAGTTCAGTTTCACAGAATTCAGTAAACAGCTGTATAGCCAGCCCTATGCTGGGTACTGATAACACACAGGTGGTCAAAACACAGTTCCCACCTTCAGCATTTTGCAGTCTGGAAGCAAATGTGTAGTAGAAAAAGCACAGACTTTGGCTCCCAAATGTCCTGTCTAACCTTTACTCTGCCATTCCTAGGTGGAACTTCGTTAGAAGTTATTTAACCTTCCCCGAGCCTGTTTTTCACCTGTAAAAGCAAAATTAACCTAATTCATTGGGTTGTATGAGATTTTAATCAAGACAGGTTGTTTTGAATGAAATAAACATTTCTATTCCTTTTCTCCTTGCCTGCTTCCTTCTTTTTCCCTTTCTTCCATAATTACTTCCTTTTGCAAAACACAGGAAGGTTCCAGGGAGTTAGATATTCTGTAATGTATCTAAAAGCATCCAAGTTTGACCACCATCAATTTTGCCATCAGATAAATTGATGAGAACTGGTGGGGGTAAGGTAGCAGGAATGGGGGAGCACTCACCTTTGCAAACCATCCAGGTGTCAGGTCCACTACGTGTATTGTCTCATTTACTCCTCACCTGATTCTCCGAAATAGATATGGTCATCTCCTTTCCAGATGAAGATGCAGTCGCTGAAAGTTTAATCATCCATCCCTTGATAAGCTAGTTCACAAGTAGTGAGCATGGCTTCAAAACCAGGGCTCATCTGCCTCCCAAACCTACTTTCTTTCCACTACCGTATACTGCCATTATGACAAAGATGAGAATTGTTCACAAGGGTTCTTCAGATTTAAAGTAACAACATATTTTGGAAGAAATAAACCAACTGCAACTGATAGGTGTGAGGCCCTTAAAGATTCGTTTGTCACTGATGAGGTCTCAGAATGAACTTCTATTTTAGTCCAAGTAAAGCAAAGGTGGGGAAGGGAGAAACAGACCTGCCTCTCCCTGGGCAGCGTGGCAAAGAGCATCTCAGGTTAGAGAGAGGCCAGGTCCAGAGGGGACCCTAAATCCCATTGGTGTTTCCTGAAAAGAGCATGGAGTCCTGAGCTGGGGACCTTTTTCCCCACCTGGGCTAAATAACTCACTGCTTCCCCCACCTTCCATTCTGGAATTTCTTTGCTGCTTTTCTCCCAACCTGTTTTCAATTTGCTCTTATGACTGACTTTGACTGTGACCTCAACTCAATCAGAAGTGAGAGAGTGAGGGGAGAAAGAGAAGGAGAGAGAAAACGAGGAGAAAAAGGATTAAGGGAGTGAGAGGGAGAGAGAGAACTGAGGTAAGGGGTGGGGCCTTTAGAAAAATCACTCTGTGCTTTGTTGGGTTGGTTCCGAAGCTGCAGCAGAATCATGATTAACCTTTTCTGTGGGACGTAATGAGAGCAAGGCTTGAGTCTGAGTGGATAAAGAAATGTGTGGGGGTCTGGCCCCAGCCCACTCGGGTTACAGCCCCAGAAGAGCCGTAATGGGGAACAGGCACATTCCTGTACAAGCGACTCCCAACTCCCTATCTGTTTTCAAGGAAAGAAAAACAGAAAAAGAATGTTAGAGACTTAGACAGGCTTGAGTGAAGCGATGGCAGCAGCCTGGATTCTAGTGGGGTTTTACCAAGAGACTATGACAATGTACCGGGAGGAGGGGACAGAGGCACCCTAGGCAGAGTGTCCTGGTGGAAGGTGCATGGGCTCATATACAAGAGAGCTGGGGTTGATTCTGGACTCTGCCCCCAAGGAGCTACAAATCCTGGATTTAGGGTGCCGGGAGGAGGGGACAGAGGCACCCTAGGCAGAGTGTCCTGGTGGAAGGTGCATGGGCTCATATACAGGAGAGCTGGGGTTGATTCTGGACTCTGCCCCCAAGGAGCTACAAATCCTGGATTTAGGGTGCAGCATTCCTGAGCTTCTATATTTCTATGACGGAATGTAGCATGATTTTGTGTTTCAAACATTTTGCAATAAAACTTTTTCTTTTCTTTCTTTCTTTTCTTTTCTTTTTTTTTTTTTTTTATATGTCTGTTGGCCAGTACAGGGATCAAACCCCAGAACTTGGTGTTATCAATGCCATACTCTAACCAAGCGAGCTAACTGGCCAGCCCGGCAATAAAACTTTTAAACCCAGTTTTTATAAACAGTTTTTTTTTTTTTAAAGTAAATGAAACATAGAACAGTATTGTATAAAATAAATCAAACTGGAGTGTGTCGGGCTGGAGGTTAGTGTGGCTACAGCGGGGGGCATGGGGGACCCCAGCCCCTCTCTCATTAGTGTTTAACCTTACTCTCGGAGGTCTATATATTCTAATTTCCAAACCACTGTTAGAATATATTGTTAGAATATACTACTGAACTCCTTTTTTCTCTTCTGGGCTTTGTATCTTTCCAGAAATTCTAGGTTTCCAAAGGTGGAACTGTGCACCTAGAACAGTGTCTGGTACATAGTAAATGCTCAGTAAATGTATGTCACATGCATGTTGAATAAGATTGTCAGAATTTGAGGAAGAGCTTCTGTGGCAGCTTGGAAAACTCTTCTATTCTTAGCAGTTTTATCTCATAGGCTGGCTGTTATAAATGATTTCATAGGCTATAGGCGTCAAGACACTAAGTTCTGTTCCAGATCCTCCTGCACTCTCTGTAAGGCCATGCCCTTGCCACATTTCTTCTCTGGGATTCAGTTTTGACACTTATGAAAGGAGAAATTTGGATAAAAAAATCCATAAGAGTTCTTATCTCTACTCTGTTAGGATGACAACAAGAATAAGAACAGCAGAAACAATGAAAGTGAATATATTTTTTGAGCTCTTACTATGTGCCAGCCATTTTGCTAATTAACTTATGTGCCGTATTTTATATGATATCCACAACAACTCTGTAAATTAGACACTATTATCTTTTTTACATGTGAGAACATAGATGTAGAGAGTTAAGGAACTTGTCCAAGGCACGCGGTAAGTGGGGGTGTGCCAGAATTTAATCCTGGGCAGTGTAAATTCAGAGCCCCAGCTCTTAACCACTGCATTATATTATTGCTCATTCAATTGCACCACTGCCAGATGCAGAGTATGGTATATTGGGGAACCACAATACATCTGTTGATTTGCATTAGTGCATAGAGAAGCCCCCAGGCCTTTCTCAGTATCCCCACCACTAGGTGAGTAAGGATACTGAGGGGTCACTTCATTCACCTGTCTCTATGTAGGTTGCATTTAAACCTTCTGAAATAGAGTGCCAAGAAAAGCAATCTTACAATTTACTTTATGGGGCTGTTCTTGTATTTAACAACCCCTCCTGTTGTCAGATTACAAGCTGTAGAAGGTCAGGGACCATTTCTTTTATCGTCTCATTCCCCAACCCCATAGAGCTGAGAGGGTGGCAGGAATGCAACTGCAAATTGAATAGCACTGAGAAATCTTCTTTTCTAACAGTGTCATTTTAAAACTTTCTCTAGGAGGCAGCATAGTATTAAAGAAAAGCTATGGTTTTGGAGTTAGAAGAATAGGGGTTCAAATCTCAGCTCTGTTTTTTTCTAACTCTGCAGTCTTTTTTTTTTTTCCCTTTTTGTCTTTTTTCGTGTCCGGCAACGGATCGCAACCCTCAGCGTCGCGCCCGCACCAGACCGGGACCGGCAATGGGATCGCAACCCTCAGTGCCGCGCCCACACCTCGCTCAGCCAGTGAGCGGGAACCGGTCTGTATGTGGGATCCGAACCCTCAGCGGGAGCGCTGCCTCACTCCCAAGCGGTGCACTCTCCAGTGTGCCACCGGGCCGGCCCTAACTCTGCAGTCTTAATCTCAGCTTTACCATAGGGATGATAACATCTAACTTGTTAGGTTGCTGTGAGAATTAAGTGGAAAAAAGAAAAGTACGTATGAAATGTCAGTTCACTTTCTTTTAACTATTTTTCATTAGAAGGTCATTATATGTATATAGGCCCAACTAGAATTGGGTACTAAATAGCCTTATGATGGTATTGATATGACTAATTATACTACAGGTTACCCAGTTTCTGCACTTGAACTAAACTTATAAGCCTTAGAACTGTTTAGAACTTAGAACTGTGCCGATCTCAGTGACCTGACAAGTTTACGGGGCTTTTATCCATGGTCCAAGTTATTCTGAAATTCATGGAAATATCTGGTAAGATATGCCCATTTGAAAATAAATGTCAGCCATCTTTTGGCTTCAAGACAATTAATACAGGCCACAAGCAGCTGAATTCCCTCATGAAGAGCCAACTCTCTCAATGGCTATCTGGAAACAAATTGAAAAGCAGACAGACATGGATCCAAGCTCAAAGAAAACAAATATAAGCAGCCAGACTTGGATCCTGAGAAACTAAGTGAAACAGGGCCTCATTCCATCCAATGAATAATCCAAGGTCTCTCCCCTCCTTTTTTTTTTTTTTTTTTTTTTTTTTTTTTTTCTGAATTCCCTCATGAAGAGCCAACTCTCTCAATGGCTATCTGGAAACAAATTGAAAAGCAGACAGACATGGATCCAAGCTCAAAGAAAACAAATATAAGCAGCCAGACTTGGATCCTGAGAAACTAAGTGAAACAGGGCCTCATTCCATCCAATGAATAATCCAAGGTCTCTCCCCTCCTTTTTTTTTTTTTTTAACTTTTCACCCCATACATTGCTCTGCTTTGATATCTATTGGAATGGAGATGTTGTTTGGTTTATGATCATACTATGAAAGAAGCTGACATAAAAGATCTACAAAAGAAATTTGAGATGCCAAAATTTGTGATGAATAACAGTTTCATTTACTTCTTCATTTTCCAGCAAAACCTCTAGTTCTGGACATCTTTCTCTCTTTCTAGACTCTTGGCTTTTACTTTCTAGAGTCCAAATCCATGAAAGAACTCTTAGCTCCTTGCAACAGAAAGGAAAACTGAGACATTGAGAGGGTTAAGGTAGAAATAGAATTCAGTCCCAGGTCTGTCTTATCATAGCAGCTGGAATTACATGTTGGTGACATTGGCCTAATTTAGACACTTATTCTGGCATCTACATGTCAAGTCTATGAACTGTATGCTGTCTTTGTAAAAAATGGAAAACAAAAAACAGTACCCATCTTATCTGCTGAATTATAGGGACAAGTACGTCACAGAGTTGTTGTTCACCTGAATCCCAGGGCCACCCAGGCAATTCAGTCAGATAGTGTTATAAGATGCACTTGTGAGGTGAAGAATTAAATGTTTTTGTTTTTCACTGTGATTTTGTAGAAATTAAAAAAGAAAGACCAGCAGAAAGTGATCTGTATATTCTGCCCAACCAGTGCCCTGGTGGAGAAGTACCACATGGCTTGTCTGAGTCCCAGTCTTCTTAAACACTTGTCCAATATTGTCCCATGATGGTTCCATTGCATTGGCTTGCCCTTAATCCCAGGTAGAGAGGATATATTTGAACTGGTATCCTCCTCTTGTTTATTACCAGGAATATACACGAATAGAGAGTCTGAGAGACTCCACATCAGGCATGAAGGGGAACAGGGAAACAGGAGTTGGAGGCCTCATATCATTTCATTCTCTGTGTTCTAAAGTACCTCACACGCCAGTTTTGCTCCTAAATCATCCAATTTTAGAATTGGAAGGGAACTTAGAGGCCAGTTAGTATTGCTCATTTACTTTATCTATTTTTAAGTAATTTTTATTGATTTTTTTTCTTGTTACAAAAGCAATGTATGTTCATTGAAGGTAATTTAAAAAATAGAGATAAGCAAAAATAAAATGGAAAAAGTACCATTATCTCACTCTCCAAACAGATCCACCATTAAGCATTTGCTGTATTTTCTTTCTTCCATGTTTAAATACATATACATGTAATATGCAATATACATTTCCAACAAAAAATGGATTATTCTGTAATAGTGTAATCTGTTTTTTAGCTGAACAATATTTCATGAATATTCTTCCACACAACTTTATATTTTTTCACAAATTATTTTTAATGTCTATAAAATATCCCATTGCTTCATTGAACTATAATTGATATAGCTATTTCTATAGTGTAGAACATATTCTTGTTTCTAAATCCTTGCTAGTATAAAATAGTACTACAGTGTTTATCTTTATGACTTAATCTTTGTGCACATCCATGTTTTTATTTTAATTTTTTTAAGAGTCCTAATAGTGATTCTAGAACCTTCACCCTGCAGATAAAACTAAGGCACAGAGGTGGGAATTTAGGTGCCCAAAGCTATATGGCACATTTTTAGAAAAACTAAAACTAGATTCCATGATTCCAGGTATTCAGTTATTCTTTCTAATCTCCTTTATTAGTTCTCTTTCTAGTGAATTTCAGCTGCTTCCTAAAATCTCATGGCTAGGTTGACTTTTAGGAATCATGGGTTTGGGGGGCAGTCACAAATATGTTCCACTTATTCTTACACTTTCCCTTTCAGTACCCTTGACCTTCCTGACTAATCAATCATAGAACTCTTTCCTCCTTAGCTGGACTAGGTCTCTGTCCATCTCAGCATAATTCTCCACAAATCCAGTACCAGTGCATAAGAGTGGACCTACGAAATGCAACTATTTTACATCCTTAGTCCAGCTCCTTCATTATACTAATAAACAAAATGCAACTCCGAGAAAGAAGGGCCTTGCCGAAGGGGCTGAGAAGTCAGTGGCAGTGCCAAGGACAGAAAAGTTATTATGGAAAGAAAGAAGGCACAATTCCCTTGTTGCTTTTTTATATGTTTTTATTACACAATAATTTATCTCACTTGAGCCTTGCTGCAATCTTATAGAGGTAGGTATTACATCTCCGCTTTATGGGTCAAAATATTTTCAGACATAAATGTGAACAAAGAGTCATCAAGGCTAGATACTAATCTGTGTCATTTTCTAATCATGTGCTTTTTCTATCCACTAATCCTCCTGATAATAGTATCCAGATTTGATGGGTTTGGATGACAGCAAGAATGTCTGCTCACCTAGACTGAGCTGGGGAACTCACCTTTCTTTGTCTCCCTTCAGGAGAATTCCTGAGTTTTGCTGATGACTTACTCTCTGGCCTGGGCACGTCTTGTGTGGCAGCTGGTCGAAGCCATGGAGAGGCCCCTGAAGTCAGTATCTACTCAGTCATCTTCAAGTGTCTGGAACCTGACGGTCTCTACAAGTAAGACATGTTGGGTGGATGGGGAGCATGAAGCAGATGGGACAATTTTAAACCTGGGAAGGAAGGCATATGTTATTCTGTCTGGGGCAGAGAAATGTTTTATTGGCCAAGCTGTGTGTGCACCTTGAGATGCTAAGGTTTAGACGTGTCCACTTGAGAAGTGTGACTACAGTGGGTCACAGAATCACACAGGATTAGTGCTGAAGGGTGCAAGGAGGCTAGAAATTCAAAATGATTCTTCCTGTTGATGAAGAATCTGCAGCCCTGAGAGGGAAAGTGGGCTTCTCAAGATCATAGAGCAAGATATCCAGGAGGGCTGGGACAGGGATCCCTGCCTAGTGTTCTTTTCTCTCCTTCACGCTGCCTCCTCTTAAAAATACTAGATCAGTGTATATACATACTGTCATGCACCACATAATTACATTTTGGTCAACAACAGATTTCATATATGACAGTGGTCCCATAAGATTAGAATGCAGTGCCATATGGTCTAGGTGTGTAGCAGGCTATGCCATCTAGGTTTGTGTAAGTGCACTCTATGATGTTTGCACAATGACAGAATCATCTAATGATGCATTTCTCAGAACATATCCCCATCATTAATGACACATAAGTATATATACACACATATATATGTTTATGCACATGCACATATACATATAATATATGCACACACTAAGATATATATACTGAGATATATGTATTTATTCATATGTAATTTTTATCAGTAGATCCAGTTCTCTTAGAAACAATGCCATTACGACTCTTTTGTCGAGTACATTGGAGTCATTGCATTCAAACTTCTGGAGATGCAAGTAGAAGTTACTCTGAGAGTCATTTGTTAGTCTCAGGATAAAACAGGCTCTCACTTTTTTTTGTTTTCCACCTCGGTGAGTGTTGCTGCATGTGGATGCAGCCATCATAAGCTATAACACAGAGCTCTAGAGACCAGCTCTCCTCATAGACCCTAATTATGAAACCATAGACCACATTTTTTATCAACCTAGGAAGGTGCAGTTGTGAAGAAGTTAAGCTTCATTCAGCAGTTATTCAACTTGTTCATTTATTCTTTTATTCACACACTCAGTGATTCATTCATTCATCCATTCATTGCTCCATCCACCCAACCATCCATCCTTCCATCCATCCCATTCACCCATCTATCTATTCATCTGCTTTATACTTCATTTCATTCAATTATTCATTTATCAATTATTTTGTTTAGTTGCATATTTATTTACTAATTCATAACTAATTTACTTATTTAGCAGAATTTTCCGAGGATTTCCTATGTCTTGGTTCTGTGCTAAGGATTGCAGGTATGCGTGTGACTAAGACAGAGGTCCTATCCTCAGGTAACTTATAACCTAGCGGTGATGTGAGAGGCCACAGACTGTAGATTTGAATCTGACTTTGATATTTTTAGTTATGTGACCTTAGATAGGTTGCTTTACCTCTATAATCCTCAGATTCAGCCTTTGTGAAACAGAAATATAAAAAATCCTAGCTTGCAGAGTTGTGTGAGAATTAAACAAGAAACACCATAGTGCAGTATCTCCAAGTATGTGCTCGATAAATATTAGTCCCTCCACAATCTGTGAACTTCCTCACCTCTAAAATACAATGCATCTCTCCCTTCCTTTACCTATCTGGAGTCCATTACTTTTCTGAAGACCATGGTGAACTTTTGAACACTTGACATATTGACATTGGTGCACCAAAGTCAGGAATATCACTGTGAGTTGGGTCTTCTGACCCTGGCCCTACCGCTGACTGTCTCTGAGATTTGGGGGTCCAAATTTTATCTGAAATCACTTGAGGGCAGTGAATGCTCTAGAAATGAAATCCCTGAAAAGCAGTAGGCTATCAGATCTCTTCTAGTGGGACATCTGGGCAAACTTCATAAAGGAGGTAGCTTGTGCCTCAGGCCTTAAAGGATGACCACAGTCCTGACAGTGAGTGCTGGGTTTGGGATCCAGACTTCGAGAGCATGACTCTACAGCCTCTTAATCAGTAAGCACTGACACCAGCCCCTTGGCTCTGGGGTCACTGCCTCTATGAAATACAAGTATGTGACTAGATTAAGAGCTATACAGTCCCCTACAACTCTAAAAACTGGGATTGTATGAAGAAAGTGGCACTTTCTGAAGATTTCCTGAAGGCTGGCTTTAGTTCCTCTGTCTCTCATTAAGGGTGTAGACTGGAGGCAGACAGAGCTGGGTTCAAATCCCTGCCCTGCCCTTGATTAGTTGTGTGACACTGAGTGAGCTGCTGACCCTCTGAGCCTCCATTTCCTCCCCTGTGAAAATGTGAATACTGCAGTGTCCAGCTCACTGGGACTCCAGGAGACCTTGATGAGATAACATGCAAAAGCTCTGCTTGACAATGAACTCCCAGTAGGAGCCTGAAAAGTGTTAGCTGTTATCACTGTTGCTGTCGTTGCCCTCAATTGTTAATTTCAGCTCCCTCCCCATCCATCCTCCAACCCACGAGAGAGACAGCATCTAGCAGAGAGGAGCAGAACCCCATCGGGTGCTTCCTATCTGCTAAGACAGAAGGAGTAACCCTTTTACTGTGATGACATTGTAGGGACCTGGCATTGGTTGGGCTGGAATCCCACAGCCCCATTATGTAGAAAGCAATGAAAAGTTTTAGGAACCCCCAAAACAATTAACACTGAGAGCTGACTAATCAAACCGCCATCCTTCAAAAACAATGAACACGCTTCCTTGCCCCTTCTTTTCCCAGCTACCTGACTCCACCCCTCCTCCCCACCTCTTGGAATAGGGGACATTCTTTCTTCCTCTGTCCTGGAAATGTGCTTGTCATGGACTTGTCATCCCTAACTCTGAACATTTCTTTATTTCATTTATTTGTTTGCTTATTTATTAATATTATTATTATTTTTACATTCTAAGAAGTTGCAGAGCAGTTGGGGATGAGGGAGAGAGGGAAAGGAGGAAAGAAATAGAGTGTGAAGAGTAGGAAGGAGGTGGGGGCTTGGTTGAGGCCCGCGGCACCCCCCTCACTCCAGCAGGGGAGATCGGGAGGGTTCCCTCAGCAGCTCAGTGGTCGTCGCTGGGCATGTGTATATTTAGAAATTGACTTTATTAATGGCCCTGGGTTCTGGGCCGCTCTGACCAGGGACCAGGGTCATGTCTGGAACAGTCTCCTATCCCAGTGGCGGCTCTCTTTCTGTGAAGTCTGACCGACTCAGTCTCGAGTTTTAAAATAGTTCCAGTGCCAGTTCTTGGGGTTTCTCATTTTCTGTTTGATGGATGCCTACCATTTTTTTTTCTTCCTCTTGAGCCAGAAAGGCTACTGGTATCTCTGAAAAGAGTGCCGGCTTTGGGGACAGTCTGGGCTGAGTATGAATCCTGATTCTTCCCTGTACACATACCCTGCCTGGGGCAAGTCACTCTTCCCTTTTCTATGCAACAATTTTTTCCTCTGGCAAAGGAGGCTGGTAATCATCCCTATTTCATAGGGTTATAGAAAGGAGGATGAAGTTGAGAAACTCCACGAACAGGGTTTTTCAGAATGCCTGACACATAGGAGGTCTGTAGGAAGTGTTAGTTACTATCTTTTTCTTCCTGCTTCATTCTCGTGACTCAGTCCCTGGTTATCAGTGTCTTTTTCTTCCAAGGACAACACTGGAGGAGCTGGCCCCAATGAAGCAAGCTGGGGTCCCACTAGCCCTGCAAGGAATGACCATTCAGAATCCTTTGGGGAGAAAAAGAATGAAAGGAGAGAATGGATCCAGACAAGAGAAGGCTCAGAAAGAGCCCAGTCTTAGTTAAGCTCAGCTCAGCTGGGCATCAACCCCCCATCCACACTTCCAGATTCAGGTGATGGGGGAGTGGAGGGCCAGTCTCTCCACCGGGGAGTCTGGGTTCATGTCCTGCTGCCACCACTTCTGCCTCTGGCATCTTGGGCTAAATGTTCATATCCTCTACCCATTCTGTGACTTCAGCATCTTTAAGATGAAGGTGCATGCGGTCCGGTCCACTCCAGCCATGAATTCTGGGAATGCACACTTTTGCCTTGGAATTTGTTCTCATTCTCTCTCTCCTTCCCCTCCTCCTGGGCTCCTGCCCTTCCAGCCTTCCACCTCTCTCACTTAGTTTTGCTCAACGGTGCCTCCCTGCTTCTCTGTTGGTATCTCTTTGTCTTTTATTTCTCCTCTGTGTACGTATCTTCAGTATGGCTTCCTATCTTTGTCTGTTGTTCTCTCTGTCATTCTTTCTTTGCCTTTCAACTTGTTAATCTCTTAATTTTTATTTCTGACTGTGTAGCTCAGTCTCTCTGTCGTATTCCTTACTTGAAATTTGGTTTTTCTCTCTCTCTGGTCCTCCTCCATTCCCACTCCCTCTCTCCACCCCATCTAAGAAGGCAAATTGCTTTTGCAGCCCCTCCATCCATGTAATTTTGCACAGCACCGCAGGGTGAGACCAATTGAGGGAGTGAAAGTCGAGGCTGATTTTCTGTCCTAAGCTCACCCTGGTGTAACAAAACAGAAACATCAGCACCCGTGCCCTGTTTAAATTGAATTTCCTTGTTTGTTTCATTTGTTTTGCTTATGAATAAAAACAAACAAGAACAGCAGAGGGAGAGGGTCCCCAGAAGGTCTGACAGTGGAGCCAGCTTCTGTTCCCTTGGGTTGTTGGAGTCCAAGGGTGACCCTGGGTGGGAGTATCCACTCAGAGCCAGCTGCTCATGCCAGGCTGGGCATCACGGTCCCTGCCCTTGCCTGGCCAGAGGCCTAGACACCCCTCTTGTAGCTGCTCTCCAATTTCCTATTACCCCAGGTAATTAGCCTCTGTCTTGTCTTGGCTGCTTTGCTTTTTTCTAATTGTGGCGGGCTGCCAAAGGGTCCTCAGTAAACATGCCAGCAGCAGCCAGGCCTGATTCCTGGGGTGGGGGACTCATTCCCACACATTCAGAGGCTTGCCCCAGGCCCACCCTCACCTCCCTGGCTGCATCTCTATGAAAGGAATGCC